ATTATGATATGGACGTTGTACGTGATGCAATTCGTGCGGAATTAGACGGTCCAGGAGGTTACCGAGGTTATAGCATGCCCTTCAAATGAAGGGAATAACTGTACCTAGAGACGTTGTGGCAGGATTGTTACTTAAGAGAGCTTGATCCAGAAGGAGAGACGCAGATTGAAGAGAAGGATTTACTGGAATCCTGGACCCAATTCTTACTGGTGAAGGAGATGACAGTTAAAACCATATGGCCAATCCATGGATGTATAGACGGATGGAGCCGCCCTTTGGTTTACAGTCAAGTCATCTACCAAGTATTGAAACGTATTATTTGGAGGCTGTGAACAATTTAATGGCTGTCCCGCAGATTATTACAGACCTTGGTACAGAAAATGGTTGCCGCCATTCACTCATTTTTCGAATGACCCAATCAGTCATAAGTATGTGTCTTCACCAGTCATTCCAGATAAGTGGTGGTGGATCAATTTTTAAAGATCTGGCTGAAGGAACTGTAGACCTCCATTCCTCTTCATGTGGAATGCCTTTGGTTTTTGCAGATTTGCTCCAAAAATTTAAATGAAGTAAAAGAGCTGTGGAATTACATTACATCCGAAAATCAAGGTATGACACTCTACAAGGAAGGCCAGATTCTCTGTACTATTTTCCCGAACTTCAGAATGGTGAATGTAATTTGCTTTTGCCTGTTCTTGAGTCTGAAAGACTATATGCTAGAGAGCATATCATGAACATGATGCACCAAACAACTATCAGAGATATTTTTGTATGTGATGGAAAATTGCTCATTACAGAAACCCCAATTTTTGACCAAAGTTGATGATAAATATTTAACTGAAAAGAAAAGAAACTTTATGACATTAGACTTGATTGTACCAGATAATGATTTCATGGAAAGCTAATGGAGGAAGTCATGTTGAAGATATTATAAATTTCGAAAGTAAAGTTTGCAAGCATACTATACATGAATGAGTTTTAAGAAGGTCTGATGTTTATGGACTTGAGATTGGCGAAAATCCAGATGCTTGCCATTCTCTTTTGTGAAAAATTTATGCTGATATGGTTCTGATACAGATTATCTTTTTCTTTGGTTGAACCTGTGTTTCAGAGGAAGGATCTTCAAGGCGACTTAGAACACTATAGTGGACAACCTTCAAGATTTTTATCACTAGAGGAACATTAGTACCGGGGTATTCAACAGCAGTTGCTTGGAAATATGATGAAGAAGAGAATGTTAACCTAAACACAGAAGAATTATTTGAAATGCCTGTAAAGGCGTTATGGATGGCTCACTGGCCAAAGACATAAACATATTCTACCTAAAAGAAACCTTGATTACTCTGAATTTTGACCATGATTGCCTGGTAAGAAATTCAAACCACACGACGTGTTTTCCGTTGAGCTGAGCTAACCATACCAGTTGTATATAGGAGTCAGGGAAGTTTAAAGAAATTTTTGTCATGGCATATTGTAAAAGTCAATCATTTGCTAAAGCATTTAGATTGACAATTGAGAAAGAAATATGTTCACATTTGTTAAATTTTAATGAACTGCTTTACGTGAAGGAAGCTGTAGAATTGTTTGTTACACTAATATGGCATGCAAACATTGTGGACTGAGAATAGCATAGATTTTATTGATAACATAAAAAATTCTTGACTGATTTACTAAGCTTGTTGTTAAAATGAAAACAAAACTGTAACATAAGTCACAAGATTAGTTTCATTCGAGGGCTCTAATTTTAAGTTCTCCAGCTTATTAAAAGTTCACGTAAAACAGTTCATTAAAAAATTTAACAAAATGTGAACATATTTCTTTCTCAATTTTAAAATGTCAATCTTCTTTTAATTCATGCTTTAGCAAATGATTGACTTTTACAATATGCCATGACAAAAATTTCTTTAAACTTCCCTGACTCGCACATATGTACAACTGGTATGGTTAGCTCTCTCCCACAAGCTCCAACTAACGGAAAACACGTCGTGTGGTTTGGATTTCTTACCAGGCAATCATGGTCAAAATTTAGAGTAATCGAAGGTTTCTCTTTAGGTAGAATATGTTTATGTCTTTGGCCAGTGAGCCATCCCATAACACCTTTTACAGACATTTCTGGCATTTCAAATAATTCTTCTGTGTTTAGGTTAACATTCTCTTCTTCATCATATTTCCAAGCAACTGCTGTTGAATACCCCGGTACTAATGTGTCCTCTAGTGAAATAAAAAAATCTTGAAGGTTGTCCACTATAGTGTGTTCTAAGGCTCGCCTTGAAGATCCTTCCTCTGAAAACACAGGTTCAACCAAAGAAAAAAGATAATCGGCATCAAGAACCATATCAGCACATAAATTTTTCACAAAAAGAGAATGGCAAGCATCTGGATTTTTCATAATCATATCTCCAAGTCCATAAACATCCAGACCTTTTTAAAACTCATTCATGTATAGTATGCGATTGCTAACAAACTTTACTTTCAGGGAATTTATAATATCTTCAACATGACTTCCCTCAACAACTCCAGTGTAGCCATTATCCAAAATGAAATCACAGTATTTGGTACAATCAAGTCTAATGTCATAAAGTTTTTCTTTTTCTTTTTCAGTTAAATATTTATCATCAACTTTGGTCAAATCAATTGGGGTTTCTGTAATGAGCAATTTTCCATCACATACAAAAAATATCTCTGATAGTTGTTTGGTGCATCATGTTCACATATGATATGCTCTCTAGCATATAGTCTTTCAGACTCAAGAACAGGCAAAAGCAAATTACATTCACCATTCTGAAGTTCGGGAAAATAGTACAGAGAATCTGGCCTTCCTTGTAGAGTGTCATACCTTGATTTTCGGATGTAATGTGAATTCCACAGCTCTTTTACTTCATTTAAATTTTTTTGGAGCAAATCTGCAAAAGAAAACCAAAGGCATTCCACATGAAGAGGAATGGAGAGGTCTACAGTTCCTTCTTCAGCCAGATCTTTAAAAAAATTGATCCACCAATTTGCATGATCTTTTCTCAGGAATGACCACCACCCTTCTATCCTTTGGTTTCTGGGTGAAGACACATACTTATGACTGCTTGGGTCATTACGAAAAAATGAGTGAATGGCAGCGGCAAGGCCATTTTCCGTACCAAGGTCTGTAATAAAATCTGCAGGACAGCCATTAAATTGTTCCACAGCCTCCAAATAATACGTTTCAATATTACTTGGTAGATTATTTGACTTAGTAACATATAACCAAAGGACTTTACGGCTCCATCAGTCTATACATCCATGGATTGGAAAGCCATATGGTTTTAACTTGTCATATCCGTCACAATGCCAGGAAAAATTTGGTCCAGGATTCCAGTAAATCCTTCTCTTCAATCTGCGTCTAGATCTTTCTTTCACTCCTTCTGGATCAAGCTCTCTTAAGTAACAATCCTGCCACAACGTCTCTAGGTACAGTTATTCCCTTCATTTGAAGGGCATGCCATATTAAACTATAACCTCGGTAACCTCCTGGACCGTCTAATTCCGCACGAATTGCATCACGTACAACGTCCATATCATAATGGCTGTTTTTTCGTCGAAGACCAAAATGTTTTATTCTTCGCTTTAATGTACTCATGCTAATCTGCTTACCGTGATATTTTCTTATGAAGTTAAGAATTTCTTTGTATTGAAATCCTTTTAGGAAATAATAACGTATGATCTCTTCCTCACTGCTTTGTTCAAGATTTTCATGGTCATCGACATCGTATTCTTTAATGTATTCCGCCATTCTATATTTTTTAGACTATAAGTCAATGATTTAACTTCCCTCACTTTGCTTCCGCCGTAAGAATTTCAAATGTTGCCGTAAGATTTTCGTATTCAAATGTTGCCGTGAGCTTTCAAATGTTGCCGTGAGATTTTTGTAATTAAATGTTGGCGTGAGATTTTCGTATTCAAATGTTGCCGTGAGCTTTCAAATGTTGCCGTGAGTTTTCAAATGTTGCCGTGAGATTTTGTATTCAAATGTTGCCGTGAGATTTTCGTATTCAAATGTTGCCGTGAGCTTTCAAATGTTGCCGTGAGTTTTCAAATGTTGCCGTGAGATTTTTGTATTCAAATGTAGCCGTGACATTTTTGTATTCAAATGTTGCCGTGAGTTTTCAAATGTTGCCCCAAGCAATAAATCAGCACAATAAAAATCCTAACACGGTTTTCAATATGCACATGAAAAACGTGACTTGGACGAGATATGAACTCGCACCTTCGGGATACTTGTCCGCCGCTCAACCTGTTGAGCTACCAAGCCCACAGGGATTGGTGACGAGTCAAATCTCCTTAAAAATACGTATGGACGGGAGATTCTCGCCAAGATAGCAGTTGTTTTTCATGTGCACATAAAAACCGTGTTAGGATTTATATTATGTATAATCTCTGATTATGGCTTTGGAATAAATCTGCATAATAAGCATAAATTTACAATTTTTACACACGATGACGTCATCTAGAGCTATCAAAACTCAAAAGTTTATAAATCAAAAATTTGCTCACTGCCATAAGATATTGTGCTCTCTTATCGCTCGGGCCCCCATTGAATCATTGATTACTTACGTTGGCATATTCTCTGTAACACTATGAAAGAAATTATTACTCAGAGGTGTGCGAGAACGTTTTTGAGAACGTTTTACCTTCTGGTCCACGGCCTATAGATCTCTGCTTATTGTGCACTCTTATTGCTTGGGCCTCCAAGTTGATTAACTGCATAATTCTCTTTGACCTTATTAAAATATTGGTTTCTAGATGTGCGCTAAGAAAGTCAATTTCTGAACCTATTTAAATATTCTTCTTCCCAGTTCAAGGACTTATGTTTGAATCCAATCAATCAAATTTAGCAACTAGCTGAAAGCATTATTTATTAGTGTATTTTCATAAATGTGTATTTTCCATTTCACCAAATTTCACACCTTATATTGTATGTTTAGCAGTCTCTTGTTTCTTTAGGACGATGATGATGGCCCATTTAGGCCCATTTCAAACGTCCCACTTCTATGCACCGAATGCCGGCCTTATAAAGACAAACGGAAAAGAAATTGCTTGTTGGCGATTTATACAAAACATTGCGCAAAATAATATGCTTTTTCTACGTTTCTTATTTATAACTTGTGCATTTTCATTCTATACGTATTTAATTTAAACATCTACATGTAATGTGTATTTTATATATATACTGTTATGGCATAGGTGTTACGACTCCTAACCTAATAGTATTTAACCAAACGACAACTTCATTATAAATATAAAGAAGCACAATCCGAAAAGGACATCTTGTAAAGTCAAATTTAAGCTATAAAACAAGACAATTTAAACAGTAATATTTCAGTTTTATTTCAAATAATTTCTAATGATGACAAAAATTTGGTTTAGCCTGTTTGTTGATTAAGATGACTCCCTCAGAAATGAGAATTTTCTTACCGGAGATTATAGGCGTACAAGTTTGGTCGGCAGAAGGGCACAGCCACCCTCACCCAAAGCTTAGACATTCGGGCTTAACACCATGTGTTGTTCGGGCAATTTATAAAATGCTAAACATCATAAATTGAATCAAGTTATGTGGAGAGAAAAACAAGAAAGGAATTAATTGACATTTGAAATTCCTTGCGTTGAATGAAGCTCAAGCATAACTTAATTTAGACGCATGCGGGCTCGTGTAAAAACATATTTTAATGCGGCGTTATGTTTCCAAAGTTGATATTTATCTTGCTTTTTGAAGATCGTGCAGCATAAAGACGAAATATTACAGGGTTTAGGGTAGTTAACTGTATCTTTAAGGTACTTAACATCTTTTAACACAAAGTATCATATTAATATATTTGCTTACATGTCTTTCCATGCTGTAGAGTTACTGAAAAGTTAACTGATGTATTTTTTTATTTGTTATTGTCTCAGATTAAAACATAAAATTAGTTGATAAACTCATTGACATTTTTGAGAATCAAAGATCACATTTTTCTGATTACCCTTATACATGAGTATGAACTGCCACACCAACCAACCCAACCAGGAAACACTTTTGAATATTATTGACATGCCTTATTTGATTATAAATTAATCTAATAGACGTACCTGTGCTAAAGCAACCGCTATTCTAAGAAGATTGCGTAATGCTCCTGCACATTGGAAAGACTATTCTTATTATGTACTCTGTGTATCATTACTTCTTCTTACAACTAAATTTCAAACAAGTCTATCTTTTCTATTTATTTTATTTTCGATGAACACACAGCAATATGGCAAATAAGTGGGGTGCCTCCCAACAAGAGGACTTTGTTGCTACGTACACTCATGTCGGCCATGTCGGTTGGACAGGTGTCAACATTTTAATATGCCAAGATAACATACCAGACGTTTCCTGAATCGGTTATCTTTCTATGCATGATTAACTGCACCTCCAACGTAGTATTCAAGAATCAACGCAATATTAAAAATAAAAAAGGAAATCGCCTACAAATTGCAGTTACGATATGTAACACTGCTTTTCAACGAAGAAGTGTATGCTAAAAATAAGTATGTAAGGTAGAAGAGTGAAGATTTCTTTAATTTTTTGTAGTGAGACAAGTGGAATTTCACACAATTATGTCATTTCTCTCAGAAACTTCAAAGATATGTAATGATGGAGATTAGGAGGCAAAAAGAACATTGTAATAAGCTATTCACAATACTTTCGGTCAATAAAATATTCACCCAAAAATCACCACTAACGTGTAAATATATATTAACCATTTCTCGTATTTATTTCGGACACATAAATCGAATCTGGGCTAGTTGGGAAAGGGTCAGCGAAAGGTGTTTTATCAGGCAAACATAACAGGTTCGTTTCCTGAAAATGACGTACAAATGACATGTGATACCTTCATTCATGCAAGGGTACAAAAATTTAAAACAAGCAACTTTAACTGAAATACAGTTTCTCTACAAGTGTTTTGTCTTAAAATTAGGATTTTTACACTCTAAAGGCTGAAACACACTAGGCAGTCGCTCTATGCCGCGCGTCTAAAAGTACCGCTTTGCGTGATTACTGAGGTAGTAGCGTAGTCGCGTCAGCTAGTCGCTTTGAAAGTTCAACATATTGAACTTTTGACATTGGTTTGCTTCAGTCGCTTTACACTGATTGGCCAATAGATACATTTTAACTTCCTAAATGCATATCATATTCCCTGTCATAAGCATCATACGAAATTTATATAGATTATACCTTGGAAAACGAAGGCAATATATAGTGAATTCACACTGGAATCTTTCAGTTTTTATATGACTTATCAAATAGGGACAATAGGAGCTACAAACTGGAACCCTAATGCACAACCTAAATGCACAGAATAAGATTATCCACGATATACGCGTGATGGGCTATGATAATATTGACGTGTTTTAACTGGCTTGCTCTCTTTTCTCCACATAGTAGTTTGTACTGAGTAAATATTCATATAGTAGTAGCTATAATAAAAGCTCAAATGAAAAGTCTAAGTGAAGTCTGTGTCTGTAACAAACAGAAATCTTCCATTGTTCAATAGACGTCACGGTAAATGTCGCAATGGTCGCTGCATCTGTGTTTCTAGCGTTCAAGCGACTGACGCGTGCGCATCAATTGGCTTTGGACGCGCGACTGAAGCGACTGCCTAATGTGTTTCAGCCTAAAACATTGAAAAACACCTAAAATTAGGGAATCATTTTTCGCACTTTCATTCATATGATAGGATCCTTACTTCCTCGCCTAGATTAATTATTAATTTAGAAAAAGATAGTAAAACAAATCACTTTGCTTTAATACTTTGTGGGAGAGATAATGTCGAGCAAAAGACGGAAGCATTTTAATTAAGCCATCCATAAGCAGGCAAAATTAGGAAAAGGCATACGCTTTATACACAATTTCATCATCAAGATTTGTTTAATTAGGGACTTTAAACAAGTTTGTAATTTAACATATTAAGATCGTTAAGGGGTGACCCATGGTTAAAGGTAAGTATACACGCTACAATCTCAGTCAGCATTAAGCTAATTTACATGAGTGTTGTGGTTAGTTAACTAAAAAAGATGAGAATTTGCAATCTATTTTCACATAAAAAGGTAACCTATCGTTCAAATAATATGGTTAAATGTCCATTAAAAACATTTAATACTACATCAGTGCGTTCAGTACTTATATATACTGAAATATATTGAGCCATAAAACAGACCTGAATAATCACTTGTCTGTTAATACATCAAATCTTTTGTGCTAAAATCTGGTAAGCTGTGGGATCGATATAGTCGACACTTCCGTCGTTATTTACAAATATTTCGCTGAAGTCTTTGAGCCCAATCGTTGAAATTATTTTGCCATCATGATAGTCTGAGGCAACATGGTAGTTGAGAAAATCCAAGATCGACTTGTGCTGGTAGTTGACTATGTGATAGTCACTTAAAAGAATTTCAAAACCACATTTCTTGAGAAGACCTTCTACCTCAAACTTTTTGATAAAGAATGGAATTGCCTTTTCATTTTCTTCATGTTCCTTTTTAAGTACGAGATTAGGAGTGCAAAAAATCATTTCGTTTGCCTTTGTAATTAATTGTGGATCTACCTCATGACTCTGTAATGCAATTATTCCTCCATATTTTAAGCTCTCGAAGGCAACTCTCGCATACTCCTCCTTCCTTTCTGGAGAAAGCCATTGGAAAACAAAATTGCTAAAATGAACATCGTAGTAGGATTTGTTTCGTTGATGAAACTCAGTAGAACTATCGCCATTCTCAAATACCAGGTTTTCGTGCAAGCTCAAATGCTTTTGCTTTGCATATTGAATACGCCCGATGTCTGGATCTACGCCGACCACTTTACCATCTCTACCAACAATTTCTGCAAGAAATGAAGTGAGCTCTCCCGTTCCGCATCCCATATCTAAGATTTTGTCTCCACTTTGAACACCAGCTATTTCTATGAATTTCTTTCCATAACTTACTTGTACATCATTATTGTTGGAATATGCCACTGCAGTCTTATAACTTCGTTGATTAAACACCGCTTGCAGTTGTGTTGTCATTTTTAAATAAAATTTACAACTCACTGAGATGGTCAAGATAAACACTGTTGTACTTTCAATGCAAGTAATTCTGGCGTGGCTCCATTTTTATGGCAACGCTTACGTGTACAAATGACGTCAGTCAAAATGTAAATAATCTCAAAATATATTTTTCTAGTTAAAACACAACGTTGTTTCGTCGTCAACACTAATTTGAATTATGGTTGCAATGTTCACCATTATTCAAATGATATAATACAGACGTCATTTGCTCGAGAGTTTTCAATTTTTTAAATTTGTACGCATTTTTGTCATGACGTTTACGGCTTAACAACGATGCTTAAGCTTTGTAGGCATTAGATTGAATTTAAATCAAAGTTTGAAATTTGACGTTATTTGATGTTTTTGTCATTTTTATTTGACCTTGTTATAAGTCTCCCATACAAGACAATGAATATAGTCCTAGTATTGAAATAAAATGTAGCAGTATTATTATAAAACGTTACTAGCACAAAAGAAATGGTTTGTTAGTAGCTCATCTAAAATTTGAAATTGTTGTAGCATTTTATCTTCGACACAACTTGAAGATAGTCGGAGAGAATTTTGCATGCGACGGCATATCCATCCGATGGTATGTCTTGTATAAATTGTTTGCTGCAACTTATTCATTGTAATATTTTCTACAATGTGAAGTTGTAAAATGTACACTTGCCTTTATGCAAATGTCATGATTTATGAATAAAAAGGTCAGTCAAAGTTCATTGCTAGATGTCTCTTTACCATTTTACTGTGAATTTGTGAAGTGATCGATCATTTTATTTATCATTTAAAATTATTAAATTTGTTTTATTCTTTGTCAATAGAAAAGTGACAGTTTCAAAGAATGACAGATAGTGTCACGTCATTAAATAAGAAAACATAATATAAACAGACACATAATATAAACAGTGCAGCGAATCGTAGAATTGCGTTTTAATGGCTGCCCTGTATTTACTTGACCTCTCGTAAATTCTTTCAGCGCCATAACACCACCGCTGTTTCAACGTTAATTTAACAAGATGGTTTTGACATCTTTTTATTGTTAAATTCAATACCGGTCGAATTAAGTCAAAAAAATACGGACGAATTCATCACCGTAATCAATTGAAACTGTGCTTACTCATAACTTAAATTCTATTTGCCTATTGTGCATAAGTGCGAGCAGTAAAGATCCCAGCACTGCCTTTAATCATACGGCGCAAAGGTTTTACAATTCATTGACTAAAATGGCAACGTATGAGATACATTTTCTAAAGAACGAACTTATACCAACATTTGCGGGTAAACTACAAAAGATGTAAAACAGAGCGTCAAGAATAATCACCTATGAAAGAGTAACATGGTGTGATTGTTTCAACATTGAGTTTTCTACGTCATTTGATGTCCAACCATTATCTGACGTAAAGTTCATTTTATTAATTTTTGGACAAATTTTAACATTTTCTAAACATCACAGGCCGACACCGAGCAGTGACGGATCCAGACTACGTCAAAATATATTACTGCAGTACAGCTGGGCTAATTAACATTTATGTTTTGTCAATACAATTGTGACGTTATTTTTTCAATATTATAATAAATTGCCCTGCTGAGTGCTGAATATCATCAATAACAAATGTATGTATTGCAATTTTTGTCATGAACTTTTGTGAATTTCCCAGCTTAGATTATAAGTTTATGTAATTTTTGACCATATTACAACATACTAGTTGTCTTCGCCAGCTAATTAAAATAATAAATTTACTAGCAACGCAGGCGCTCGGGTAATGTAATCGAGACTTGTTCATCAGTTATTATAATCATAATGGTGGCATGATAACAAGAAACATTGAGACAGTCAAGAAAATCGTCCAGTGTGTACATGCTATTATAACTTTTGATGATTTCAAAACCATTTCTTGAATAAAGACATATGGCATCAACTTTAGAGCATAAGAAATAAAGTCTTTTTTCAATTAAATTTGTCAATGTTATAAGGTCAATCAAAGCTCATTGCTTCAGACGGACTTATTTGGGCTCACAAAACTCATAACAAAAAAAACTTATGTTTTCCAAAGAACTATTTATGTTTGAAATGTAAATAAACGCGTTCACCAGAAAATGTTTTTGAAAACGCAATTGGAAACGATGTAGGATGAATGACGCTATATGACGCAGAAAAGTCGACATTAGAATAATTGTCTCATGTGATGTAAATCTGTCAAGTAAGGATTCATGATGCTATGTTTTGTTTATATATTGTAATTTAGCTCCAATATTTTGACCATAAGCAAACCAATTAAACACTTGTGCATGATAATCATCTTAATCAAATATCATTGAATCATCGATTGCTATATGTTGTTAAGATGGAATTGATTTCGATTGCATATATTTTAAACTTCCCCTAAAAGTAAACGTTTAAAAACAGCCTCTTCGAATTGATGCTCAAAGAGCGTTGAAATATAAATATTAAAAGATATCCAACAAGACAAACACATAGCAAACAAAAACAGATGTTTAAAAGCAACTGTATGCCATTTATTAAACTTTAAACATACACTAATATATGGTCATAACATTTGTTACTTAGCTGAAGTAAATCATGTCGAATGCCTTCCCGTTTTTTAACACCACCGTTTTTTCTCTCAAGCAAAAAGAGAAAAAATTTAAGAACTTTAATATTGGGGAATAAGAATAGACAACTGCATACCATGATTTATATGACTTTTGTACTACTATGGCAAGCCGGTGAAGGCTATTTCAGATATGGTAGAGCACCTTGTGCCCAGGTCCTTCTTTTCCTGACACGCACGTGAGTAAATGATATTCTCCTTATCATGATAACATTCCTATTTCTTACGTGCTTGCAACTTGCCATGGCGTTTTATACTTTATATGGCTTTACAGAAGATAGTGGGATAGTGAAATATCTTAAATAATAGCGGGTTTTATTCAAACATCATTTCAAAGATAAAGATGACTAAGGTGACTAGGTGAGCAAGTATTGTATACTTTTAATTTATTTACCGATATTTTGTAATTTGTAGTGCTGTACTTGCACTGTGCGAATTATTGCAGCGACGGTTTTTAGCACATTTCTATCAACGATAAATGGTAGTAAATACTCAATTTTCAATTGTGTTATGTTAGTATTCAAATTCAAACATTCTTGATGATGATATTTTCGCCCAAATCATTACACAAGAAGTAATTACAGGGCAAATGCAACACAGTTAAAATATAAGACAACAAATACTGCACTGGAAACGTGTAAAGCACAAGCTAAGTTTGTTATTATATAGGCTATACATTGGTTTAGGTGTTGAAGCAATCGCCATATTACTTGGAGTATGCTATACATATGTATATGATACACAAACTAGTATTACTAATTACATAGGCAATGGGTGATGATTGGTTTTGGTGGATGTATTTACACATGCCCATCCTTTAGACTGTTTTATGGGAATGGTTGTTGTGTGTTAACTTTACCTAGACAATCATTACCCTATTAGTAATTTTGTGTCAAAACATCAAAATTGACATGAGGGCCGCTTGGGGCATATAATTTTTACTCTCTATTTGCATGTTTTTCTCCATTTCCAATCACCTGTCATTTATTTTAGGAAGAGTCCTTTCAGTTTATGGTGGGCAATAAAAGTGAGGATTCCTTGTTGTAGGATGATTTTCAGAGTCAATACATAATATGTGGTAGGATTGACAGCACCGTATACATTTTAAGTTTTCTTCAACAGGTGCTCCACATAGTAGGCATTTGGAAAGTTCTGGCTGCTGTGAGTGTTGTTTTAGACAAGTTCCTCTTATTTTGTTGTAAATTCTAACCCTCATCTTATATGGATCACAGCCATCACTCATTGACTTTCCTTGCACAAACTGTGATGCATACCAGCAAACAAAAACACCACAACTTGAAGTATCTTGTTGAAGAGTATGCGGTGGTGAGGAGATCTGAAATTCTGACAGACCAAATTTGTTTTCAATAATTAAAGGGATGAATTTTGCTATAATCTGCATCTGTGCCTTGTTTTTAATATCATCAGCTGCATTCAATGGATCAACATAAAAAATATTTCTCTGTTGCAGATCTATGTCCAGTGACAGTGAGTTGGGTTCCAAGGTGCTATAATGAGATTTTTTTCATTGCTCTTTTCAGACCAAAGTCTTCCTCCCTGACCACCATTTTGCAAGGAAAGCATTGATGTGGATGCTGCATAAAGAACATGTTCATGATCTTCCTGTAGACACCAGAAAAATGAATTGATTACTTCATCATACAACCAGCCAGGTATGAAAGGTTTTTCACTCATGCTACTAAGTAAAATCTGTGTTTCTTTGTGCAAAAATGGCTCTAATGATTTAATTTCTAGCAGAGATACAGAATGTGGTCCATTCCTTAATAGTTTTGCGGTGATTGATGAAGATTCTGTAATGAGAGGTGTGAAACCTGTGTGAGGAGTTGGCATGAAAGGAATTGTTTGTGTATCTTTGCTGGATGATTGTGTTTCCATTTTCTCTAGAGATAAGTCTTTATTATAGAATTTTCTCATCATTGCAGCATGTTGGCCAACTCTTCTATTGTATGGGTGTATCTTCTTTAATTTTGCAGATGGTAGATTAGATAATCTGGCTTTCTTTTTAGGATTGCTGGTTGTTGACTTGCTGATATTTGATGTTCTTTTTTTTTACGTTTCATTGACGTTTTCCCGGCGTCAGGAGCTGTAAGTGCTAGTCCTGAATCAGTATTGCTGTTATTCTCAAATTCCTGAAGTGCAGACTGAAGACTCTTTTCCAGGCTGGCTAGTGAAGTTGAATTAGTACACTCGTGGACCAAACTCTTTATTCTAGATAACAGATCACAACACCTAGTAATAGCTGTCCGTTTTGGGAACACTGGTTTAGGTAGAACAGCTGTCATAGTTTGTTTTATGTCAGCTTCTTCTGTTTCTTTTTCTTGGTCATGAAAACTTTCTGCACCACAAACTTGCTGAGCATCGTCAACTCTTTTCAAAATATGATCAATTGGTTTGAACAATATATCGACATCTAAGGTCAGAAATGGAGAATCTTTATATGCTGTTGGTTTTTCCATCCCCAACTTGTAAATTTTTTATTTTGAATAATCGCTAATAAGTGCTTGCATGGTAAATAGTTTCGTTGCCAGTCAAGACACTCGCAGCAAGGTATTTCTGTGTCATGAGGTGCCCTAAAATATACATGATAGTTGTGCTTTCCCATTTCACTGGTTACTAAAAATGCACCCATAGAGTCATCCACCAAAGCGATTGAACGTACATCTTCAGCATAAACAAGACGTTTCATGCAATGGTCGATAAGGTAGTTAGGACGATTATGCAGATATTCTGGAATCTGTTTGTTATAATGTTTGTTATTTCGTTGATGTAGCTGAAATAAAAAATATAATACACAACTTTTTGGTGCAAGCACACAAAATTTAATACAAAAATTTTGGTTTTAAAACCAGTATGCATGAGATTCATGCAACTTCACTTTACGGTTTACTCTCGGCATTAATATAAATAATATACGTAAGCTAGCCAGGATCTGCCTCTCATTCAGAAAGAAAAACTGTGTCGCTTTAGATCATCTATTAATTGAATGCCAGACTTACCTTTCGTATTTGTCAGGAAGAAATTCATTTACAAGAATTGTTAACATTGCGCTGAGAGAATACTTTCGTAAAGTCAGTAAATACTGGTGTTTGAAAGCCCCATTTTGTCTTTCCAACCCATTGTTTGTGCTAACATAAACAAGCAGACGCTCTTTTCTGAATGCCCATACCCATCTCTGTAAAAGTTAAATATCAATAAAGTATAAAAATGGTTGTAGGTTTTACTTGTATTGACCTGACGAAGAAGGAAAGTACAATGAAACGTACTTTTCCACTTTTCGTGTAAACGCTTGTGGTAGTTATTTGTGCAGTACATTTTGCGGCCGTGCAATTGCTAAGTCTGTATTCTTTTTTACCTTTTGTGTCTTATCCACGTGTTTTCCAGCCACCTTTTAAAGCTGTTATTGGTCTTCCACTCGCTAGTGTCTTTAACTTTTTGCAGGGCATTTTCGTATGCATCCTCAGTTCTTGCCCGTGCCAATTGTCTCATCAAAGCCAATATAAATTCACGGTTGTCTGCGATTCCATTATCTTTTTTAGATGTCCAACGTTCCCATGCTTGCTCTCGATGAAAATCGCAAAGCAGCACTTTGCAGTCTGAAAATATACCCACATGTTACACTCCATGATGAATTGCAGAGCTACGTAGCCATGGTATATAGAACTTTTTAAAAGGATGTTTAACTTTGTCAACACGATTACATATATATCGTAAAATAAAAATAATCTGCATGTAGAAATTGATCAACCCTTTCTTCCTTCCCATGTCCAAAGTTTTCTAATATTATTATTATATTTGATTAGCGATGGAAGAAATATAACTTGTGAATTGCTGTTCATTGCTTTTATTATTTAGGTGTTACATGGTTGATTTAGTGCAATAAAGAATGCCAGATGTTTTGGTCAAAACCTCTTGCAGCTCGTGCCTCATACCTGGAAAACAAACTCAATTGATTTTATTTCTTCTTCACAAAGATCGGTCATCATATGCTGTGGGTTCCATCGTGGATTCCATTGATGTAAAATACTGAGAGCTTCTGTTATACTAGCTGTTGTTTCATCTTGTATTACAAAGGATGAAACGATAGCATAATCAACATTAGTCTTCACAGCAACAAAAAATAATGGCAAGGAATACTTTGTGGTTTTGTATGTGGCATCTAGGAAAGCTAGTTCCTGACCATAACGACAAAGTAACCTTGATTGCCAAGCCGTTTGGTGTATAAACAAAAGTCGCCCTTTTTGCTCCTTTGCAGTCGTCATAACCTCTTCATTTAAACTTATGTCGTCATCGCTGTCTTCTTCATTTTGTAAGTCTGTATTTTGAATTCACCGCTTCCTTCAACGTATGGACGGAAATAAAATCTATCGTTGCTCGAAGCCTTTTCGCATTTCCATTTTCAACCAGTCGAGTGACGTTGTCTTGGTCCATAAATGAAAGCCTGGCTCTCATTGCCGCGTTGTACATGTGATTTTTTATTGTTTTAGCTCTGGGAAAGTATCGTCGATTGTCACGCAGAGGTTGTTCTTTTCCTCGAAAAGCTCATCCTTTATGTATATTTTCAAATGACGTTTCATCTCATGAACAGTTCGCACTCCTTCACTGACAAGTTCTTCTATCTTTCTAATAACCTTTTCATCTAGTCGTTGTGTCATTCCGCTGTGCTGAAATAGCAAAAGGCAAAACTAGTTAGTGTCATGAATTTTATCATGCAGATGCCACAAATGATTGTGATGTTCTTGTCTACAGATTGCAAGACGAGCATGTCAAACAAGAGCATATACCATTCCAAGTCTGTGCGTGGTGTGATCTTCTGGCCGCGGAAATGAAATATAGATTCTGCGTTCAGTTTTTACTGAGGAGCTGGGGTTTATTAAATGGGCTCGCAAATCAGCAGAGGTCGTGTCACGTTTCTTCTTTTTAGCGTCATGTGGCACCTAAAAATATTGCACTCTAATCTTTTAGAAAAAAACCAATTTAACATGTGTATACTTGTCGATTTACTATGAACAAAAATAAAGCCACAGTATAAGCAATTTTCTTTTTTATTAGTAATATACCTTGTATTCTGGAAACTTTATTACTTCTTTCATTTGTATGATGGCTGTGCAATCAAGTTTTTTACTATCTTGCTTCCAGAAACGTCTCTGTTTTATAGTATGATCTCCACGGTCGCCCTGTAATATGAGTAAAACTTTAATTTTTAAGTCCAATTTACTTTCATTACCTAAAGAATTTATGAAGAGTAGTGGTGTCATCTAGGATAATTACCTGGAGATTTGATTCACGTTTTTTTTTTTCTGATAAACGTTTCTGTCTACACCGTGTTGGCATTCCAAGACATTCGTTCCAACCAAATAGAACGGTACTCCATCAAAAGGGATGGGCTTTTCAGTACCGGATTTAGATTCCCACCAAATACGGTGTGGTTTTAGGTCATTTTGGTCTAACGCACAAAAACCATTGTAACAGTAGTTTTCATAGATTATGTTAACATACAGCGAAGCAATATAATATGTTACGTGAAGATGAGGAGATTTTTTATTTCGTTAACAAGGTGCACTTTTAATAAATTAAAACAGGCCATGACCATGTACGATTATTATATTGATATTATACAGCAGGAAATGCACAAGATGAATCCTAACAACTTCCGTAAATACTTAGCTGCAGATAAACATTACATTTTTAAACCTACTGATTTTATTGATTTATACTTGGTTCAACAAATGTATTCGACATTCTACTAAAATAAATACTTAATAATATGTGATGATTGCATCATCACGGTAGAGTATTTCAAATATTCGCGCTCAAAACGCATTTTACCGGTGGCTCCAAAGCTCTTTGTTTTCGTGAAGACTGTGAATTTTGTCGTGGTCGCGTTTTCAAAATCCCTCACGAGCTCAAGCGCTTTTTCCAAAGAACTTACGTAACCGAAAAAAGGATTTTCTTCGTTGACAATATTGTCAATTTTTGGAATATGTAAATCAGATAAAGTATAATCTTCCATGTTGCGAAAGAGTAAGCGCGATGTAATATGTAAATATGCTGAAAATTAATTACTAATAGCTTTAAGTAGACAAGTTAAAGCTAAAGGGCCTGGGCACAAGGTGCTCTCTCATATCTGAAATAGCCTTCACCTGGCAAGCCAACAAAGAAATGAATTCCCTAATCTTCTATCACTCTACAGTGTATTTCTAAATTAGCTAATACATTTGATACACTGCGTAGTTGCGTAATGTAGTACAATGTTTAAATGTAGGTAATAAATACATTGCAGCAGTCAAATTTGATGTATGTTAACTGACGTAACAAAAATACATTTCTAGCGATGTATAATGTGTTGTTCTCATAGTTGTTATTTTAGTCCCATCGATTTATCATCAAGAGAATTCTTAATCATGAATCAAGCAATTCATTTCACCAATATATGACAAACGTCGAAAAACGTCTATATTTTCATATGTCGATAAAATCGATATAACCTTACGACGGGTAATTATAGAAACAGAGGTGCTCATAATCTTTGCTAAAAGCGTAAGACAAATTCTTGCGCAAGACCAATTGATTTGTTGTATGAAAATATGTTACAATTTATTCCACTGATTTTCATCTCTTAGATAACAGTTTTAAGCATTATCACTGTCTTTAACAAACATTCAAACTTCGCAAAATTCAACAAATTAATATACTGTCGAGAAAATGACATGAAAATAAAGTTGTTTTGAGGTTAATCGACGTTATAACCTGAAGTCCACTTTACATTGACGTCAAGACAACAACGTATATCTATTGAAGAAAAATTACTGGAGCTAGTGTTTACATCTATTATGACGTAATGAGTACACGTGACGTTTCAACAAAAGTGCTGTAAGTGTCTTATGTGGACTATCTCAGTGAGTTGTAGATTATTTTCCAAATAATGACAACATCACTAGAAACAGTGCTCGACAAACAAATTTATGGGCTGCTGCAAGGTACTCTAAAATAAACAATTTTCAACTACATTATGGCAAAAAGCTCGCAACAAAAGTTGGCATTAAACAAGGTGATAAAAATTTTGGATATGGGTTGCGGAACGGGAGAGCTGACCTCGTTAATTAGGGAGATTGTAGAAAAAAAGGTCAAGTGGTCGGTGTTGATCCAGACATAGAAAGAATTCACTACGCCATTCAACACAATTGTAACGTGAATGAAAATGTTTCATTTGAAATTGGCGACAGTTCAAGTAAATTTGTACAGCCAAACAAATCCTTCTACGATGCCCATTTCAGCAATTTTTCCTTTCAATGGCTTACATTGGATGAAAAGAAAGAGTTTTCGCAAACGGCTTTCGAATGTCTAAAACCAAATGGCCAAATAGCTCTCGAGAGTCACGAAGGCTATCCGGAAATGGCTCTATTTGCGGAATATTTAATCTCAAAGAAACAGAACGCTTTGACTTATATCAATGATAAGAAACTGATTCGATTTTTTCATGTCTAAAGCTGAAACAACATCTCTTATTGAGGAAATGGGCTTTGTAATAATTTCAAGTGATTATGATATTGGAAAACAACGATACGAAACACTAGACGATTTTCTCAACTTTTTTAGCGCTTTTGATTATCATGCCACAAGCATGTCCTACAGTGAGAGAAAAGAATTTATGGCACGTTTTGGCAACGAAGTGTAGATTTGGTGGACGATACATTTTACCAGATTGTTACAAGAAAGAACTGCAGAAGCGGTTTGATAACCGATGTTAATATTTCAATTGCCTTCATGCAATTGATTACTACATTTAAACAATAATAAACACTGATATATAGCTTGTTGTATTATAAGACACTCACCCTAACATTTAACACACTCACTCTAATTTTTACGACACTCGCCGTCATTTTTATGACACTCACCCTAACTTTTAGGACACTCAACCTAACTTTTAAGTCACTCACCCTAACTTTTAAGTCACTCACCCTAACTTTTAAGTCACTCACCCTAACTTTTAAGTCACTCACCCTAACTTTTAAAAACTCACCCTAACTTTTAAAAACTCACTCTTACTTTAAGACACTCACCCTAACTTTTAAAAACTCACTCTTACTTTAAGACACTCACCCTAACTTTTAAAAACTCACTCTTACTTTAAGGCACTCACCCTAACTTTAGGACACTCACCATAAATTTTAAACACTCGCCCTTACATTTAAGACGTTTCAAACTTATGAAAAATTGGTTATATTTTCTTTACAATAATGAATCTTTGTAATTGTAGAACCAATATCGTAGTACAGAGTGTTATATATTACAGAGTGTTATAAAATACAAGGTGTAGTGATGACACTGTCATCACTATATGCTTTCCGCGCGGCAAATATATTGTCACAATATTTAATGAAAATATAATATTTTATAAATGCTAAGTTGTATTAACTTTTAAACAGACTTTGAAACAACATGTTCAGTGATGCTGTTAGTCTATTTGCTAACCAAGAAAACGTCTGAAAACAGCCTGATGGAAATGCTGTCGGTAAGCAATGATAAAGACTTCTTAGTGAATTGCATGCAACGCTTGTGTCGATATAACCCGCACCACGTATCCACGAGTTTTGGTTATTGGTAAAAACATACTGAAACCTGACAGGCACAATTGTGCGTCGAAGGACGACAACTCTTTGACGTAACTTCATTTTTTTAGACACAGTCCTTTTTACGCTCTATGCAACATACTATGTATTTTCTATAGCTTATCCACAAGATCATAAGTATGTATTTCTTTTTATTGATTCCGTTTTTGTTGAGTTGCAGTACACTGCTACCAATAGAATTAGCTTGCAAAAATTTATTAAAGCTCTTGCCAGTTTAAAGTAAGCATTAAGTGGACATTTAAGGCATTACTCTGGACATTTAGACAATTTTTTCTGTTACGGTGTACGCATGTTTTTTGTTGGCGTATCTAGCTCAATTGCTGAGGGGAGTACTCAAGGGTGGCTGAGTAATGAAAATTGGGGGGCGCTATTATTCATTCGTGCCCGTTCTACTTTACATTGAAATCAATTCGTTTCAGGAATTATAACATATGAATATATTAATTTACCCCCTCCCCCCTCCCAATTATCAATGTTCTGCCAATGGTAGAGTACTTATGTTTGCCAATACTCTATCAATAGTAGAGTATTTATGTTTGCATGTTGAATCTCGTTACTTTTTCTTGAATCAAATCTTTTTTTTGATAATAACACGCATTTTTAATATTTGCCACCCTTCACTCCATTTAGACAATTTTTTCTGTTACGGTGTACGCATGTTTTTTGTTGGCGTATCTAGCTCAATTGCTGAGGGGAGTACTCAAGGGTGGCTGAGTAATGAAAATTGGGGGGCGCTATTATTCATTCGTGCCCGTTCTACTTTACATTGAAATCAATTCGTTTCAGGAATTATAACATATGAATATATTAATTTACCCTCCTCCCAATTATCAATGTTCTGCCAATGGTAGAGTACTTATGTTTGCCAATACTCTATCAATAGTAGAGTATTTATGTTTGCATGTTGAATCTCGTTACTTTTTCTTGAATCAAATCTTTTTTTTGATAATAACACGCATTTTTAATATTTGCCACCCTTCACTCCATTCTCGAGATAGCTACGCCCATTCCATTTTCTGTTGAAATAAAGAGATTGTTTTTTAATCTATTTTAATTTATTCTTATTATAGATTCAGAGTTCGTTTTAACCCCATTGAAGCACTACCTCCCGTATTTGTGCCCTAAAAGTACAGCATTCTGTGTAATTACTTTTTACCCTAAATTTATGGGGGAATTGCATGTCCATCAAAATTACCCCTTTAAAATTTACCCCTATAAATTTTACCCCTTGATAAATTTCACCCCTGAATAGACTTTACCCCTAACTAAATATAACCACCGTAAATTTTACCCTTAAATAAATATTACCCCCATAAAATGTTACCCTTCAAAACCGGAGCATTCTGTGCCACTCATTTAACTCCTAACTTTAAGGGTAATTTTTACCCCCCAAAATTTAC